GTGGGCGCGCCGCCGGCAGAAGGGGGCCTCGGTTCGCGTTCGCGACGCCGCCTGGGGTGATGGTCTTCCACCTCCGAAAGCTGGCCCCAGGGCCCGTCCTGGGCCGCGTGCTGACCAAGACTCCGAGGCGGACCCAGCACTGGCGACGAAGACCCCCCAGGAGGTCCCACAAAGGACCGCTGCGCCGACGCGGCGGGAGCACGTTCCGGGTTGAGCGCCGCCAATGGCCTTGAGTCGGGCGATCTGCACCATCTCGGAGCTGCGACCGCTCGAGCGGTCCACACGGCGGCAGAGACGAGGCGCCGAAGTCGTCATGGCACGGGCACGCCGCAGACCAATTTCCCGTCCTGCTTCGGCCGCTGTTCGAGCCAACGCGACCGCCGGCCGCGGATCAAGCCGCAGGGGCCAGCCGCATGGGCAGGTCGTTGCGCGTGCTCGCCTGCCCTGCCCGAGCCTTCCGCCGCAGGCCGCGGGAAGTACGCTGGAGAGGCTCGGAGTTCTCTTCGTACTCGCTCCGTCGCAGCAGACGGGGCCGAAGCCGTCGCCAGGAAGGAACGGCATCCCGAGAGAAACGGGTATGTTGTCCCCGCCGCTCTTGGCCTCCCTGGGCCCTCGACGGGCCCTGGGTCCGCCAGAACAGGACCGAGGACGACGTCTCGGGGAGCACTTGGGCCTCCAGGACCCCTTCCTCCAGGTCACCCCCAGGAGAACGAAGATGGTCGCGCCTCGCACGTCTCCAGGGCTGCCTCGCGAGGCCGCGAAGATCACTGCGCATCGCGGGGCGCGAGGAGTGAAGCCAGGTGGCCCCGTCTCCTCGAGGACCCTCAGCGGCTTCAGCAGCCGCACCTCCCAGCAGAAGCAGGAGCGCCAGCAGCGGCCAGAGCAGCCGCGGCCAGAGCATGATGCCTCCCTGCTAGAGCAGCGGCCTCGGCAGCCGCACCAGCCTGGCAGGAGCGGGGGCAGAGGGGCGTCACGCCCACCGTGGCGGAGGCCCGGTCCGCGCACGGCCGCGCGCTCACAGCAGCTGCAGCGTGCAGGCGAGTGTTAATGCTCCGCTGGTGGTGCTCTCGGCGGGAGCAGCGGGGAGGAGGAGGAGGAGGAGGAGGAGGAGGAGGAGGAGGAGGAGGAGGAGGAGGAGGAGGAGGAGAGGAGGAGGCGGACGAGGAGGTGGAATAGGAGGAGGACGAGGAGGGGAGGAGGAGGAGGAGGGAGAGGGAGGAGGAGGAGGAGGAGAGGAGGAGGAGGAGAGGAGGAGGAGGAGGAGGGGGGGAGGAGGAGAGGAGGAGGAGGAGGAGCGGGCGTAGGGGGCAGGGGGCAGCCAGGCGCGCGGGGGGGCCCCTCGGCCCCGCAGGCCGCCGCCATGGCCGCCGAGAAGACGGCGGCCGCCCAGGCGTCCGCGGAGGAGCAGATGTGCGCCGCCCCCACGCCGCTCCGAGCTGCGCCAGCCGCATCCCCGCCCAGAGGCCCTGACGTCTCGGGCGCGGCGCCCTGGGGGATTCAGGAAGGTGCACTTTGCTGTGCTCCAGAGGGGCCCTCTTGTGGCCCGCAAGGGGTACGAGAGGTGCACGTTTTTCTTCGCACCCCCATGAATCGCCCCCCCCCTCTCGAGCAACGCCCAAACCTCACGAGCTGCGAATACCCCCCCCCCCACACGCACACACACACACGCACACACGCACACACGCACACACCACACACGCACACACACACACACACACACACACACACACACACACACACACACCACACACACACACACTACAGACCCACACGGCCACACCACCGCACACGCACACGCACACGCACACCCACACCCACACCCACACACACACACACACACACACCCTCACCCACACCCACACCCACACCCACGCCCACACCCACACCCACACCCACACCCACACCCACACCCACACGCACACGCACACGCACGCGCACACGCACACGCACACGCACACGCACGCGCGCACGCGCGCGCAGACACACGCACACACACAACACACACACACACACACACACACACACACACACACACACACACACACACCACGCACACACGCACGCACGCACACACGCCCGCCCGCCCGCCCGCCCGCACGCACGCACGCATGCACACAGACACACACACACACACACACACACGTGCACACACACACATACACACATCTCTCATCTATATACTCGCCATCGCGGTATATGAAACGTATCCGCGCCCTCGCGGTCTGGATTCCGGGGCGCGGTCCCGCGGATACGCGGTCGCACAGATACGTTCTTCGTGGGGCACCCGCCACGGAAACATTTTGTATTCGCGGGGTCGCGGCCCAGGGGCCCGGCCTGCGAGGCCGCGGGTACGGATATCTTGCCCGCCCACGATGGCCTTCTCGTGTCGTGAATGAATCGCGCCCGCGATGGCCCTCTCGCGATGTCCCACCAGCCTTTGTTGCAATCTGTTCGGCCTCCGGGGGCCTTTATCGGGCCGCGACCGTTCGGCAGACAATCGGGAACGTCGGCAGACCACATGAGCACGACAGACCACAGGAGCACGGCATACCACAGGAGCACGGCAGACCAACGCACTGGATCGTAGATCGGCCCGTGGGCAGTCAGAGAGGGCTTCGGGATGAACAGCCAACCATATCGTGGGGAAGGCCCTCAGGGTCCAGGGCCCGTTGTCGTCAGGGCCATGTGCCCCTTCATGGCAAAACGTTCGCGGCAACACGCTCAGGTTTCCCTTTCGCATGCATCTCCCCCTCGTTCCTTTTTTCCTCTCGTCTCTCCCCCCTTCGCTCGCAGCTGTGCTCATCGGGCAGGCATCTGGAGAGCCTCGTGAATTTCGTGGCCTTCAACAAGCGCGAGCAGATCAAGGTCAGCGGTTCTGGGGGCTCGCAGGGGCTGCGCGGGAGGAGGCGAAGGAGCAGCAGGGCTAGTGCGAGTAGCGGGGGGGGCTACTACTGGCAGGACGAGGCCGCCGAGCCAGGCCCGCGACCATCGGGCCGAACGAAGGGGGGGGATAAGGAAGGGGGGGTAACGAAATCTGCTTGCATGCAGCTGGTTTCGGCCCCGCCGCCGGGCCCGTTCCTCGATTCACGGGCGCCTCCTGGCGCCGGGAGGCGCTGGGAAAATCAGCCACGTGCGCTGATTCTCTACCCTGCCCTTTGCTAGTTAGATCCCCCCCTGCCGTTTCCCCCCGAGCCAGAGGCCCGCGACCAGGGCGTGCCCTCTGCCGTGGCTGCCCTCGCCGCTCGTCTCTCTCGGCGGGCCCAGCGCCCTGCCGCCGCGGCGGCCCGGCACGCGTGCCCGTCAGCGGAGCCCGCCGGTGCCCGTGGAGGTGCCCAGTGCCCTGCTGCTCTGGCGGGCGGGGTCGGGGTGCGTCCGATGCTCGTGCTGGGGACCTTCCTGGGGCGCACCTGCAGACTCCAGTTCGACTCCAGGTCGGCTCAAGTTCGACTCCAGTTCGACGCAGGTGCCACTCAGGTTCGACTCAGGTTCGGCTCAGGTTCGGCTCGAGTCGACAGACGTTCGACGCAGCTTCGACGCACGAGCGCAGCGATTGGCTCCAAAAATGCCCTCAGAATGAGCATCTAAGTTCAGTCCGGGGCGAAGAATGATAGAACGGGTGGGGATGCCGGAGCGCGGCACGGGTCGGGGTCGGTTCCAGGGGCGAGGATTTGTACGGTCGAGGGGGGCGGGGGTTATGAGTCGCGCTCGTTGCCCACCGTCGGGCTTTGCGCGGTGAGCGTTACCACCATCGGTCGACATGTTCATGGACGACCACTCGGCGCAGTGGTCCGAGGCCAGAGGCCAGCAGACAGTTCCCGCCGAGCTAATGATATTGGCGGGGTCTTGGCCCAGCGTGCTTTCTACGCGCGCGTGATATCGCAACCTGTGGATTGCTTCTTTCTCTCTCTCTCTCTGTCTCTCTCTCTCTCTCTCTGCATGCCTGCCTCTCCCTTCAACACTGCACGGCTGTTGTGCAGTCTCTCGGAGTTGGCCGCCCGCCAGCCACGGCTGCGGCCCGTCGTCCAGCACGCCCCTAGTTACGTATCGCTTCGGCATGCCCCTGCGGGCTCGGTCGTAACCCTCATCACCGCTGACCCCTCGGGATGTCTTGTCAGCGGCGACGTGGGCCACGAAGGATTGGGCAGCCAGCAGATGGTGCGTGGCATGGCTGGCTGCGCACCAAAGCTTGTAGGGGAGAGGGGGAGGGCGGCCGCGGAGGAGGGCGCCACGCTCTGAGCATGCAGATTTAAGCCGGGCCTGTCTCTCTACAGGAGGAATTTTCAAGCGTAGTCAAAACATAGCCTGGGGACGATTTTTGTTGTTGGTATGTATGGGCATGTTTTGAGTATTTATTGTCTATGTTTTATTTTTCGTCCGAAATCCGCTTGTAGGGGGACGCGCCGACCTAAATGTAGGTCTTCACGCAGGGTGCAGCGTCCTCGGGCTCCAGCTGGAGTCGTGAGTCGTGAGACCTGGCCATATATATATATATATATATATATACGCGGGGCGCTCCAGAGCGTACCCGAAGTCAGCGCGTACCGAGGGAAGGCGGGGCTTGGTGGCAGAGTCCGAGCCCAGCTCGAGGAAGCCCGAAGACGTACAGCGGGCCGCTCGACACGAACCGTTGCGACGATGCGTCAGGTTCTCGCCGCTTCGACGCGCCAGCGACGCCGGCGTGTGCGCACAGGGTTGAGGCACCTTCGAGGGGCTCTCGCTTGGGGCCCCTGGGCCCGCAGCAGAAAACAGCCGACGCCGTGAAATCCACGTGGACGATCGGATCGAGAGTCCGAGGCGGGGATCCATAACCATTGCCTGGGGGATCGATCTTCCATGGATAAATTGCCGCCTCGCAGAGAGCCTCTGGTGACCTCCGAGAGTGGGCGGTGACCTCGGATCGGTCCGTGCGGGGTCAGCAACCAAGGCCCACGTCGTCACGGCAGAAGATTGCCGTATCCAGGTGCCCGAAGGAAGGTTTCACCAGTGCTCTGGCGCAGCATTCCGTGCCGCGGTCCCGGCGAACCGCCCATCGCAGTGCAACACGCGGCGGTCTTCGCTCCCAGGCCCACAGGGTCGTAATATGTGATAGGTCGCTCTTCTCGTGGGCAAACGGAGGAGGCGAGAAAGCGGGGGGATACATATGTACATCTATGAATACAGACAGTCATATATATAGACAGAGAGAGAGGGAGAGTGAGAGACATCATAATAGAGAGAGGACGGTATGTGTGTTTTGGTGCGCTGTTCTTTAGGGCAGCACGCCGTGGCAAATGGGCGCGCGAGAGGGAAAGAGAGAGAGAGAGAGAAAGAAAGAGATAACACCCAAATAGGACACAAACAAAACAACACATGCCAGGGGGAAACAGCGGAAAGGGGAAGGACAAGTTGTTGTAAGGACGATTGTGCCTTGTTTTGCCATCTTCTTTTCTGTACGTTGCACGTTCAGTCTACTTTGCTTGTTGTTCCGGAGCAGCCTGGCACCGCCAGACACGTGTTTTTGTTCACTCGGGTTAGGGCTTTCGCTTGTGGGCTGACCGCAGCGGAAACTTCAATTCTCCCGTCGCCTTCAAAACCAACCGCGTGTTTTTTGTTCTCCGTTGTTCAGGCGTCTGGGTTGCGGCGTTGTGGCTGATCATTTGTTTTCCACCACCACCACCATAAGTTGGAGGGGGAGGGAGCCCTCCTCCTCCTCCTCCTCCTCCTCCTCCTCCTCCTCCTCCTCCTCCTCCTCCCTCACCTCCCCCTGCTCCTCCTCCTGCTCCTCCTCCTCCTCCTCCTCCTCCTCCTATTCCTCCTCCTCCTGCTTCTCGTCCTCTTCCTCCTCCCCCCCTCCAACTTATGGTGGCGGTGGTGGAAAACTGGCCCGTCAGCAGGGGTCGAGGAGCTGGACCTCTTGGCGGCCCCTGCCTGACGAGCGCGCGGTCGGACGGCAGAGGTGGCACCGCCTCTGGCTCGGGGGACGGTGGAGGTGACCTTTTGCCGGCGTCCACGATGCTGCTGCCTGCGGCACGGGCATCGGCGGGAGTCGGTCAGTATCGTTTTACCGACCCCCATCCCCATCCCCATCCCTTTCGAGACCCCCACCAAATTACCCCCCAGTTGGGGATAACACCCCTCGAAGCCCGAAGGGAACGGCCCACATCCCCATCTAGGGGGGTAGATCGGCCAGTGGGGCCCAGGCCACGCCGCCGGGGATGGGGACCGGTGAAACGGTACTCGGCTGCCGGCGGCACGGGCACCGGCGGGAGACGGGGCTCGAGAGACGGGGGGCAGCCAGGGCGCCCGATTTTGCAGGACCCTGCAGGGCCAGGGTCGCACTGACCCGGGCTTGGGTTCACTAGGTCAAAGCAGATGCCCAATCCCAAAAACGCGAGGGCCAAGACAGAATGCAGGCTCCTCGAGATTTCGGGGAGGGAGATTTTGGGGTAGGGTTTTACCAGGGCGACGACGACGAGCGCAAAACATACCCCGAAGAAATCTTTGGCCGATCTTCGAATCCTCGGTGAATCCGCGATTTTGGGATTGGGGATGTGTTTTTTCGTGGTCTTGGGTGCAGGATCCTGCAGGATACCTTGCAGGATCCTGTGTATGGACCTGGGCTCGGGTGCAGGACCCCTGCAGGACCCCTGCAGGATCCTGCGGGGCTTGACTGACCCGGGTCTGGACGGGCATGGGTCAGCAGATCCCCGAGGGATCGGGGGCCCCCAGACAGGGTGGTGACCACACCGTGTCGTGAGTCAGTGGGGATTCGGGGTCACCGCCGCACGGTTTTGGGATTCGGGTCGTTCTCCCAGGACGTCTCGGGCGACAGGGGCCTCCGAGGTCCCAAAACCGTGCGCTGACGGACCGTGCGATGAGGTCTTGGGGGATTTCGAGGTCACCGCACGGTCTGTCACCGCACCGTTTCGGGACTCCAAGAGGGAGGCCCGGAGTGTCCCGCAGCGGGCCCGGGGGCGGCCAGAGAGGCGGAGCGCCGAGGTGCCAGCAGGGCCCGCGCAGCGGGTCTCCGCCCTTCGCTGCGAGTGCTGGGCGGACCCCTCGGCTCCGCTTCTCGCCCGCCCTCGTGGGCGAGACGCACAGCTCCGTATCCACGGTCTCGCTGGCCGGGACCCCGGGCCGCATCCCCGCGGGTACGGTCAAGTCGGGCATGTCCTTCTACAGGGGAGATTTTCGACATAGCCAAAAATTTGTCTGGGGACGATTTGTCTAGCATTTTTGTTTTTAATGATTTTAAAGTATCTGGGATTTTTCATTTGTCGTCCACAATCCGCCTGTAGGGGCACATGCCCGACCTAAGGGTACAGGGTGTTGTTATTCGCGGATGCCCCGCGCGGAACGGATCCGCGGGATCGCGCCTGGGAGTCCAGACCGCAAGGGCGCCGATTCGGGAGCATTGGCCGCTCGTGCCCCCTCCGAGGCGGGGATGTGTCCACAATCGCCGCCCCAGGGGTCGATCTTCGGGGACCTCGGCAGTCGGCGGGTACGAACACATTCGGGACATGGGGTGTGGACAAGGTCCGGCAGGTGGATCCCCGAGGCGATGGTTGTAGACACCTGCCCGCCTCGCATCCGCCCCCTCCCCTTGCAGCGGGAAGACGGCCGCACGAGTGCATGCATGCATGCATACATGTGTGTTGTGTGTTGTGGGTTGTGGGTTGTGTGTGTTGTGTTTGTGTGTGTGTGTTTCTGCCCTCTCCCCTGCTCCTGCATGGTGGCACAATTCGCTCCCACGGCATCCCCGTTCAAGCCTCTCATCGCCAGCGCAGTCACCCTCTGCCTAGCCGCCGACGTAAAAGGTGTGTGTGTGTGTGTATGTGTGTGTGTGTCCGGGGGTGTGTCCGGGGGTGTGTCCGGGGGTGTCGCGGGCACCTGGAGCGGCAGGGGCGGGGGTGCCGCGGCCGTGCCCCAGGTCTTCCTGCCCGACGACGAGTTCGTGCCCCGGCCGCCCCCGACGCCCGCCAAGGCGCTCGGCCGCTTCTCCTCCCTTTCCTCCTGCTCCTCCTCCTCCTCCTCCTCCTCCTCCTCCTCCTCCTCCTCCTCCTCCTCCTCCTCCTCCTCGGTGCGACGGCTGCGTGCCGCCTCTCGGTGCCTGGCACGGCGGCTCGGCAGACGAGTCAGGGCGCCAGGCCTCGCCACGGCGTCGGCGATGGCAGCGCAGAGCTGCCGCCGCGAGGCCCAATTCCGAGGGCGGCTCTGGAAGCTTCGGCGATCGGCGCTGCTCCCGTGCCCCCTGCTCGCGCCCCCAGCCCCCGCCAGGGGCCACATGGGGGGGGCATGAACAGGCAAGCATGAAGTCTGGCCTGTCCCTCTAGAGGAGGAGTATTCAAAGATAGTAAACAAGTAGTCCAGGGACGATTTGTTGTCAATTCTTAAAATTAGTTGGGGGGATATTTGGGGGGTATTTTTTTCCGCCTACAATCCGCCTGTAGTGGGACATGCCCGACCTAAGGCAAGCATGCCTCTGCAGGCAGCTTGTCTTATCCATGCTCTACCCCCCTGGTGGAAGAAAATACAACGCCACAAACATAAACGTTTGGCGGTTCCCCGCGGATCCGCGCTGGGCCCCCCTTGGCGGCGCCTCCGGCGCCGCCCCTGGCGCGCTCCGCGCGCCAGGGAGGGGGGTCCCGCGCTGATCCAAGAAATCCGCGCGGACCGCCAAAAGTTTATGTTTATGGCGTTATTTCTTCTACTACTTGGTCTCCAGAGGTTCGGGGGTTGACAGAACCCCCACCCGGACACGTCGATTAGTGAATTGTCCGTTTTCAGTTCTCGAGAGGGCGCCGCGGCCGTCATTTCCAGGCTTGCGCCCGCCAGGTTTGGGCCCGAGGTCGTTAGCTCGTCTCAGCGTAACGCCCACATGGCGATATTGGGCCTGCCCTGGACGTTGTCCCGACAAATACCCCGAGTAGGTTGTCTGAGATGCACCAATCGTATGTGCATCGCACGTCAGTGCGCTACACCGTGGCACTGCCTCGGCGCAAGATTGATCAGCCGATTTCTTGACGCTTCGCGTACGCATCCCTCGTAAATCCTCGGCTTCCGACCCGGGTCGTCGGTTGTCCCGACCTCCTGGTGCTCCCGACGCCTTGCATACTTGCACGCTGGCAGTTCGACTCAGTCTCAGTTGCCCTTGCCACCCGCCGGTCCGCCGCTGCGGTTGCCGCATGAGGCCTCGGTTAGCCGCATTAGGTTGCTTGTCTCCGCTGCTTTCGCTTAATTCGTCGCTGCGTAGCCCGCTTTTGACCTGACTTGCCGCCGGCGCGCTCGCCCGCGGCCGCTGACTAAAAAAAAGTACGTATCCCTCGACACTTCAATCCAGAAGCGATTCCCAGTATTCCCACCCCACGCAGCCCCCAAAAATTGCCAACATGGGGCATTATGGCGACCTCTGTTGGCATGCATGCCCCCCCGAGGCAGTATTTAAGGCCCTCCGTCGAGATATCTGACGGTCTCTTGCAGCTCTTTAGGCGCACCTTGCTGAGTTTTCGAGGCTCTCCAGGTCCTCTTGTGGCCATGCCGGAGGCTAGCGGCTCCCAAGAGAACGAATTCGATTGGCACCCCCTTGGTAGCCAGAAGCCCCAGGGAACCTCGTCGGAGCTTCTTGCGGCCGTTTGGGCAATCCTGGAGTTCTTCTGGACCCTCGAAGGGAACTGTAAGGCAACATCGGGGTCACCTTGAGGCATTGGATGTCAATCAAAGGCCGCCAAGCGAGCCTGCAAAACTGATTCCACCAGTGTAGGCTGTTCAGCATGCGCTATTCTTCGTGGACAACATTGGGAGGCTCGTGGGCCACCTCAGAGCCATTTTGGGGCGTTCGTGGGGCATCGCATCTTGGGAGCGGATTGTTCGGGTCTTGAGACCGTGCTCGGGCTATTGTGGGTCGGTGTCGGGCCGTCTTTCGGGTTTGTCTGGCCGTCTTGGGGCTCGTTGACGTCTTGGGTCCGGTGTGTGCAGTTATCCATTTGTTTGTGACCTCCGCGATTTTCTGCAACTTGTCCAACGCATGTTTTTGCCAAGGAGTTAGCAGTCGCGCGCTCTTCTGCCTACGCGTACTCTCAGATGCCTGGCTTCACGACGCGGCGTGTCGTCCACGGGCTACCAGACGCTCTCTCGTGTTGCACATCAGCGTGGGCGAATGGCTGTGTTGTTCTTGTTGGTTGCTCCTTGGGTTGTGGCCGCCTGGGCCCTCTCTAGAAGCCTTATCGGAGCCTCCCGGCAACATCTATGGGCCTGTTGGGAGGTCTTTGGGCTTGCTACGTTTTGAACAGTCGGAACTAGGCGCAATGTCGTTCCTGTTTGATACTGGGGCGTTGGTGGTCTTCGGGTTGTGTGCATGTCGCTGCGCAAGTTTGCCACTTATTCCGTATCTGTTTTGTAGTTATGAAGTCTTGTTCGTCCGTTTTGGATGTGGCGAATGCTCATGGCTGATGTTTTGGGCTGCGTATTTGAACGGGCTACGGCTGAGGCTCAAGATTGGGTTGAGGCCAGGACTGATGGTTGCTGCCATGGGGGTAGCAGGCTAGGGCTGGGGCCAGGGCTAGACGGTTAGGGCTGGCTCCAAGTGTGAGGGATCTAGGCACAGGTCAAAAGATAGTGTAGGGCCAGAGCCAAGGCTAGAGCCGCTGGATCACGCTCCAGGCAAACGGCCGTGGTCAAGGTTCAGTGGGCTCAAGGGCTAGGGGTGAGGCCGAGTACCATAATTAGGGTCGAGGTCCTCGGGTTGTGCGATGGGATGCGGCGGGCTACAATGCAGGGCCCAGTGCCAGGGCATAGGCCGACGGGGCAAGTGTTCGGGTTTAGGTTTGACGTCTCGGCTAGGCCCAGGGCTGGTGTGAGGGCCAGGGCTGAGGCTAGAGCTCCTAGCGGAAAGCTGAAGCCTGGGCAATGGGGCGAATGTTTCGATCATATACGAGTTGAACAGAGTTGTTTTATATGGTGTATTCTAATATCCCACGATCACAATGATACAACCTCCTCTTTCGCAGTGGCGACATGATGGCAGACACCCTTAAATTTTGTCGCGTTGTGTCTTTCCATGGTGGCAGGTTGTGGTAGATGGGGTGAGGCTGTGGCTAAGGCGATTGCCGAGTGTCAGGCAGCAGCAGAAGGCTGCTGCTGCTAGCACCAGGGCTGAGGCTACGATTTGGGCCATGGCCGACCCTACTGTATGGCATCCCAGAGCTGAAGCAATGGCTGAAGGCGTGGGTTCAGGGCTCAGTGCCAGGGCCCCCCAGGGGCTTCTGGTGGCTTCTGGAGGATCCCAGGGGCTCGATGCTTGACGAGGGAGGATGGAGTTCGCGTTGGCGAGAACAAGATTTTCAGTAGCATCGTCGGCGGCATCATCGGGTGGTACAGCTCGTTTGACTCGTTTGCGCGATGAAAGATCTGCGCGCGCAGCTGCAGCTCGGACCCTCGGGCACTTGGGTGTTGCAAGCCTTTTCGCACCCTTCCTCTCAGCAGTGCGTTTCCTGAAGTTCCGAAGGCTGGGTCACGGCGCTCCAGGCCGAGGAGGAGGAGGAGGGGCTCGAAGGAGAGCGCAGCGACCCCTGGCCGCGCTCGCCCGCCCTATTGGCTGCGGTCGCCAGCGCAGTGGCAGCCTGGCACGCATCGGGTCGCTCGAGGCCCGGTCGGCCAGATTCCCTCGCGCAGGGAGGTCTTGGCCTTCTCCCTCGGGCCTTCCTCCGCCTGTGCCTCCCGCCCCCCGCCCGCAGCGTCCTCCCGTCCGCCCTCCCTCTCCTCCCTCCCTCTCTCCCCCCCGCTGCGTTTGCCCCCCCCCCCTTCTCCCCATAGCCATCTTGGACTCAGTCACGATGCCCTTTGCCCGTGGCCAGGCACGGATACCGCTGGTCCGCGGCAGTTTCTCGCTACTTTTCTTGCAGGCGACGCTGGGTTGTGCATTGGCGATCGGCCCAGAGTCCTGCGTGAGCTCCCCCCGGGGCCCCCCTTCGCGCGCCGCGGTGGCAGGGCGCTCCGCGGTCGTGCTGGCGGCGGTGGCCATCGTGCTCCCCTCCTCCTCCTCCTCCTCCTCCTCCTCCTCCTCCTCCTCCTCCTCCTCCTCCTCCTCCTCCTCCTCCTCCTCCTCCTCCTCCTCCTCCTCCTCTGCTCGTCAACGTGGTGGAGGTTAGGCCTGCCCCTTTTGTTAATTAAGAAGATGGACACTTTGTACGAAATCAGCGAGTGAAAGCACTGGGGCCGGTTCTCGACTTGGTCACAGCGAGTGCAGCAGGTGCGGTGGCCCGTGCATGTTTTTGGCGGATGTACCTGGGACCGCTCCTGATGCTGTTCTTGGGCAGGCGGTTCCCTCTTTGACAACTTTGACCGCGGCGCCCATGCTCTCTCACCCTGCCAAGGCCTTGGAGGAGTGGGCGGTCCACTGCGCAGCTCTGGCGGGAGTGGCTCGTCAAGCTGCGGCCCCGAGTCTTCCCTTCTGCCCGATATTTCGGGCTTGCGATTTTGGTCGGATGGCGGCCACTGCGAAGACGGCATTTGCCCAAACAGTTCGAGGTCGCGTCCAAGTCTGAGCGCAGTTGGTCAGGAAGTTCAGCGGCGGCTAGAGAGGTGCAGTCAAGGCGAAGCTACTTTGGAAGAGATGCAGACTGCCACACGGAGGCTGACAGGGCCCTGGCTACAGCGCGCGAAGCGTCTCGCGTGGCTGAAGCTGAGAAGAGCAAGCGCAGCTCTGCTGAGTTCAAGGAGGCCAACAAGTTGGAGGTCCAGCCAGAACATTCGTCAGCGGGCCCAGGCAGTGGCGGAAGTGGCGGGTGCCCGCGCGGGTGTGGTGCGCCCCCAGCGCCCGCGGTCGCGGCCCGAGCGCTTGCCGCCGCCGATCTTGTGCTTGCTGGATCTGATCTCCCCACGATGATCCTGATGCCCGTGCTGGTGATCCACCCTGCAGGCGTGGCAGGTTGGTCGGCTTCGTCTACGTTGGGAATCATGTCCACGAGCTCGGCGACGCCACATTCGGCCAGCTCGTTCTCGACGCGGGTCTCGCCCTTTCCCAGCGGCAGCGATGCCGCATCGATATCCAGCGAATGCGAGGCCAAGACGCCAACATGGACGACGGCTCGGGCTTGGGCAGCAAAGTCGGTGACAACGAGTTGGAGGCCACTGACCACCACCAGCTCCGCGACCTCAAATGTCGCGCCCAAGAATCTGGACGCGATGCGACGGCCGCGGACGAGTGCCAGAAGCTGCTCAATAACCCGATCATGGCCAAGACCGCCGGGCGAACACGCGCGGCGGCGACGACTACCTGCGAGATGCACCTCGCCCCCTGCTCCGCCACTGCGAAGCAGATGCAGGCCGCCCCCGCTGCGCAAGACAGTGGGGAAGTTGCGACCTGCTCGGGCGCTCCTGTGTTTCAGTCTGTTCCACTTGCCCGAGAGCCAGTCCCGAGCTGCCCAGCTCGCCTCAGCAGGCGGCCAATCACGTCCGTTTCAAGTTTGCAACTATCGTGCAATAGTCTAAGTTGTGCCAGGATTTCCGCGCAGCTGAGGTTTCTAAGGCGGGCGACGCATTCCTCGCTGAACCCCGCCTCCAGATTCCAGGCGCCCTCCGCGCCAAGAGGACATGCCGCCGCGCGAAGTGGCCCGGCATTTCCCGGGCGCTCTGAAGTCCCCAGGTGGTTGCACGCATAGCGGAGTGGGTGTTGTTGTTCAGCCGTGCTCGCGTATGCGCATTTTCTTTGTCCAAGCCAGTCAAGTTGCGCACGTGGGATCCGATGGTGGCGGGTTTACCTGGAGGTGCCCATGAAGAGTGGTGCTATCCACTGGCGCTTCCGGTGAAACTCGATTCGGCTTCGCGGGGGCGCTGCGCTCGCCCGCAGGATTTTGTTTTGTAAACTGCCTCGCGCGGATAACATGGCCCCCATGTTCGCGGGAAAGATGCAGACCCCCCCGGGACTTACAAATCTGAATCCCCTCACCACCCCCACTGTTAGCCTCCCCCCGCTTCCTCTAGAGGAAGACGGGCGGGGAAGGGTGCAGTGGCAGCATGGGCCGGCAATTGAAGCCAGCGGGGCACGCGCGCCGTTGGCATCCGGGTGCGGCTCGCGCGCACGGGAGCGTGCGCCAGGGCAGGAGCAGGACGGGCTGGGGGAGGCTGAGTGGGCGAGGAGGAAAGACGGGGACGGGGGAGGGAGGTAGGAGCGCTCTGCCCCGTCCCCCTCCCGCTGCGCGTCTGCCCCCCCCCCCCCCCCCCCCGCGGACAGGCGCCGGTCACCTGGGCGCCCAGGGAGGCGCGCGCCCGCGCGGGGGGTGTGGGCGGCCTCGCCCGCTCTACTTCCTCTCCTTCGCAGACCTGGAGGTTGACACCGGCACCACTATCGGCGGTGTGCCTCCGAGGGAAGAGGATCCCGACGTCGGCGACGGTGGTGGTATTCTGGCTTCCAAGGTGACCGAAACATCACCACCGGTACCGAAATCTTGGATCATTCTCCCTCTGCGGAGGCAACCCCCTGTGTTGGTGTTGGTGCTCCTTTCCAGGCCTCCAACTCCTGCCCCCCCCTTCCACTGACACATCTTCGGGTCGCGACATAAACTGACGACCGAAGATTTTCGGCCGTTTTCGCTTCCGGGGAACCTGGCAGAGCCCCGCGGCCGTCAGCAAAAAGTACTCGGGTTCATAATCAGGCCCCTGGGAAGCTGTGCAGGCCCTTTGGGAGCCACGTTGTAACAGTCACTGTTACTACGGATGTTTGGACTCCAGGAATCATCAGATCGCGTCGGAGCCTTCCGGAACGCTCTCAGAGCGAAACGTAGCGTTCTTGGAGCGGCCGCCGCGCCGCCGCGCCCGACATATCCTCCGTTCCCGCCAGGTCTCGGAGTTTCCCGACTCATCCTCGCCCGAATCTGCCCTCGCCCTGCTTTCGGCTTGAGTCGGCAGGGGGAGAAGGTACCTCTGGAGCTGCCCAGGTCCGCCCTGGGGTCCTGGTCCGAACGCGCACGCGCCTGGAAAACAATAGGGTACGCATCTCTGTTCTTCCAAGAGGGGGAGCCTCTAGTCCTCATCTGCCCCGCCCCCCCTCCCTCATCCCTCCCGCCCTCCCTCCAGCCCTCCCTCCCTCCATGGCCTCACTCCTTCCTCACTCTCTCGCGCCACGGCGTCCCATGCGCGCGTCCTCTGGAGTCGCCGGCTCTCTCGGCGATCTGTTCGATGTGTCCGTGCCCGATGCTTTTCGTATTTTGCACTCGTCTTGGGGTGGCTGGGGAGTGGAGCGCGGTAGAGACGGGAGGGAGGGAGGGCGACGGGGGATGACAGGTACAATCGGACCGAGGTATAAGATCGAGGTCGGTTCGGGGAGGGTGCCATAGTGTTCTCCGTGTTTGGTGGATGTTCTTGTGCATCTTTGGGAGGGCATCTTGGTATGCTATGTTTGTTTTGGCCGACGGATGAGGGCCTCATGTTCTTGAGGGATGCTTTTCTGGCCCAGATGCGACTGTAGCGCGCGCGGGTTGGGTCCTTGGCGGGCTCCCTGGAGGAACGGTGGAGAGGGGAGCGAGGGACGAGAGGGGGGAGGAGGGGAGGATCAGGAGAAGACGGTGGAGGTGGGGAAGTCCTCACGCGAATCGTAGCTACAGCATCGTCGACCCGGTGGTGCGCCGACAGGGCCCTGCGCGCCGCCACGCTGGTCTCGGGCAGGCTGCGATGCCCGACTGGGGGGGAGAAGGAGAGGAGCAGCAGGCAGACGACGACGGACGCGCAGGCGGGAGGCCGGGGCTGGCAGGGCGGGCAGGTGGAGGTGGAGGGGGATGGTGGGATCGACAGGAGCATAAGGAGGGGAGCACGGAGCAGTGAGGGGGTAGAAGGGAAGGGAGGGAGAGGGATGGGGGGGGTAACGGGAGTGAGGGGCGGAGGGGAGGAGGAGGGCCAGGGGGCGACACGGGATGTGGTCAGCCCGCCGCCTGGTGCATGTCCAGCCAAGGCGTCGAGAGGGAAGGAAGACGCCACCTCCGACCGGGCGAACAAGGAGGCGCCTGGGAGCAGCGCGTCCGCTCTTCCCCCCCGTGCTTCCTTCCTCTCTTCCTCTCGAGCTCTGAGGAAGTGTGGGACCAGCTGGCGCGGCGGGTGGCCTCTGCAGTCTATGCGCTGTGACAATTCACGACGTGGGGTTTTTGGCAGCGTACGGCCCTCGGGGGCCCTGACCGGGCCCCGGGACCACGACTCGGGATGATCAGGCGGTTCCTGGTAATCTGGAGGTCAGAAAGGGGTGCGGCACAGAGGGGTGCGGTGCCGATCGTGGAAATGGCGACGTTATCTATGATAGGTAACCTCGCCAGATTCAGCATTGGCACCACACCACTCTACACCACACCCTTACCTCCATCGGGATGATCAGGCGGTACCTGGGAAGGGGTCCGGGTCTCTGGGGAGCCAGGACGTGAGCAGAACGCGACGGCGGACGTTTGGGGCAGGGACGGGAAGACGATGGCGGTTCGCGTTCGGAGAGATCGCGGCGTGGGTCCCGCTTCGCGCGGCGCGGAGGTGTCCCGCCAGCTGCGGTGTCCTTCGGGGAACGAGCAGTGGCAGAAACATCAGAGCTCGGAGGCCCGCGCGGATTCCTCGGATCGGCGCTGGGGGCCCCACCGGCGGCGCCTCCAGTGCCGCCCCTGGCGCGCTCCGCGCGCCGCGGAGGGGGCCCCCAGCGCCGATCCGAGGAATCCGCGCGGACCTCCGAGGTTTTGTGTTTCTGGCATTGTTTCTTCCCCTAGTCTTAAGCTGGGCGTGTCCCTGCACAGGAGGAATCTACAAAAATATTTAGAAATTGTCTAAGGATGTTTCTGTTCAACGATTTTTGAATCTGTTTTGACCATTTCTGATTTTTCGCCCAAGATCCACCTGTAGGGGGACACGCCCGACCTCACCCTAGTCCTGCCGCGCTGTCCTGCCGCGCTCGGGGGCATCGCCGCGCGCCGGCGCCCTTCCGCGTCGCAGCTTAGCTTGAGGCCTCCGCGTTCTTTTCTTGCCGCGCGGCCGCCCCCGCCGCGCCCTGGAGGGGAAGGGAGCGACCGCTGGGCTGGCGGCCATAATTAGCTTTGAGTCGGGCACGCCCCTCTACAGGAGGGATACTCAGAAGTAGTCAAGACATCGTCAGGGGGCGATTATTCGACCAGGTTTGTCTATGTTTGACTGCGTTTTGAATGTTTTCTGGCTTTCCATCCAGAGTCCGTCTGTAGGAGGACATGCCCGACTTGAAATTAGCTACGGTCAGAGCTCTCAGCAAGGAGCTTGTATTCCACCGGGTCCGTCGAGGATGCGGCGGATTCTTGTCGCCAGCGCGCACGCGCGCGCTCCAGGTGGAAGGCTCTCTGGAGTCCCTTCCCAGTGCCCAGGATCCACAGACAGCAGCCCTCGGCGACAAATAACAACCAAGTTAGTCAATTACGGAGGATGGGGTCGACCACCTCAGGGGACCTCCGAGAATGGAGATCGTTCAAGTTCGAGTGGTTCACGCGGCGGCAGAGACAAGGCACGTCGTGACGGCAGGATCTTGCCGCAACCGTGCATCTTCGATTGTTTTGTTCATCGGCTTGCAGGTGCAGTGCCTTCTGGCCCGCTGCTCCACCCTCCCTCTGCTCCTCTCCACCGTCTGCCTAAGGGCCTTGCATCTTTCCATACTGCATCCGTGCTACGCCGTTCCATTGATGATACAGTCGACAGTTCCAAATCGGCGGCGCACAGGAGTCTCCAACGGGTTCTGTTTTCTCAGCTGAGTTAAGGATCTTGCCCCCGTGTATCTCTACTCTTCGCCTCTGTCCCTCGTTCCATCCCGCTGCTTTTCCCTTGTCCTCCACGCAGAGCCGCAGCAGACCACAAGACACGACAGCTCGTCCTTTCAGCCTCACGACCCCCCAGCCCACACGGCGAGCGCAGCTCGGGCGTGACACCCCAGAAGCTGTGGGGGCGATCTGCTCTGGGGGATCCCGTCCCCGCCAAAGGCTGCGCCATGGGCTGGGCTGCGCCATCAGTTGCGCCCTCGGCCGCCGAAGCCTCGAGCTGGCCTGCCGTGGTTGCTCCGTTGGTCGCCATGTGGGCCGCCCAAGCTCCAAACGGTTGGATGGTGGCCTCGCCATAGATTGCGCCCTAGGCTGCCGAAGATGAACGGGCCTGATAGTGGTTGGGACCAGCTCAGTCGAGACAGTCGGCCAGTCGGATACATTCCAAGAAACACAGTCGGGCTACGCCGAGACGTATCTACACACGGTCTGTATATACATACACACACATATATATATAAAAATATGTATGTATGTATGTATGTATGTATCTCCCGAAGCATTGGTTGCACGTAGGTCTCTAGCTTCCGCTAGAGGAACTGAACCTGAAACGTGGTCTGGCGGTTCTGCACTCGCCGTCGCAGCCTCGTCGCCTTTCGTCGTCTGGGCTTTAATTTTGGTTTGGCGGCTATGTCCTCGCCGTCGCCGCTCCGTCGCCGCCCGTTGCTTGGTGCAGATGTTTGGAAACCACATGTATTGCACAGCATCGATTGCACCACACAGAGTGTGCTACATCAATGCCACCACATCTGTTGCACAATCTAAGCTTCCCCAAAGTTCTACACCACATGCAATTCACAACACATATTGCACCGCATACATAGCACCACGCAGATATTGCACATCATATGCTGCACAACTTAGATTGCAGAACAGCTGTTGGACCACGTATAGTGTAAAACATAGATTTCCCCTAACTATATTGCAGCACACAGGTTGTACCACTTAGATTTCATCACATACATCCTTCCACGTATAGTTTACCACAGGTATTGCTTCACATAGCTCGTACCACAAAAACCGCACACATGGATATAACACACCACAACACCTATGTATGTGCGTACGCATTACCAACAACACTGTTTGAGGTCCACACTTGGATGACAAGGGTCATCTATCTCTATATATATATGTATACATGAATAGCTGGACGAATCATACCGATACTGTTCGCGGCATTCGTGGCATTGTAGGGATTTTGACCTGAACATTGATCATCGATCATCGACCGAACAGCGATAGAACGTGGGCCGAGCAATTTCGAACATCTTTTTTCCGCTGGAATACTGATGCTCCAATGGCATCGTCAATTGTCGTCAAAAGATGCATGTCTGAATGCATCGGCACGCGCCCCCCTGGATCCCTTGACCCATCCCTGGAGACTGGCTTGTCGACACGCGTCGTGGTTTGACGCCCCCCTGGTCACCGCGAGCGGCCCCTGGCGGCACACCTCAATGATGCACAGGATCGCAGGCCTAGAGGAGGTTGACACAAACACCAAGATCGGCGGTGTGCCTCCACCGAGAGGAGACGATCCCGATCTCGGTGATGGTGGTCATATTCTGGTTTCCAAGGTGACCGAAATCTTACCACCAACACTGAAATCTAGGATCGCTCCCCCATGTGGAGGCAACCCCCTGTGCTGGTGATGGTGCCAATTTCCTGGCCTCCAATCGGACGCATGTTAGCCGAAGCGCGTGTGTGACCACGTGGGTTCCGCCGATCGCGCGCAGCTCGTGTCGGCCCTCGTTGCGCGGCCTGCGTCGTATCGGAGATCCTCGGTGAGCAATCGCACGCTGGCGCCGACTCGCGTGCTGAGGACCATCGCAGCACGTGGCGGGGAAGCCTCGGCCCGGATGCTCTCAGTGCACTGGGCTTCCGGGAACCGCCTGCTGGAGCCCTGCCCTTTCGGAGGCGAGGTGCGCGGCGGTGCCCTCCACGTCTCGGGGCCTGGCTCCTCCCTCACTGCCGGGCGCCCGCTCTTCGTCCGCCAGCTTCCTTCCCCTCATCTCGGGGAAACGCAAGACTCGAGTAAGCCGGAACTCGGGTTTGCCGACGTTTTTGTTGACGACAGTGTCTTGGAGTTTGGCGGTCTGGTTTTTGTGGGGTGTTTGCAGCGGGGGCTCGCGTCAAATTTCAGATTGGGTCTGGTCATTTCGATGACGGTCCCGTCGGGCCAACCCGAGTCCGTCTCCCCGAAAGGGCTCCTCGCTCGCCCTTTTCCGCGCAAGGGTCGGAGGCCTAGAGGTTGTCACCAACACCAATATCGGCGGTGTTCCTGCACCGAGGGACGAAGATCCCGATCTCGGTGATGGTGGTAATATTCTGGCTTCTAAGGTGGCTGAAATATGACCACCACCACCGAAATCTAAGATCATCTTCCCCCTGTGATGTTGGTGCCCACTTCCAGGCCTCCATAATGGGCTTCCCGGTCTCGGTGATGGTGGTGATGTTCTGGCTTCTGAGGTGGCCGAAACATCACCACTGGAACCGAAATCTGGGATCACCTTTCCCCCTGTGCTGCTGCTGCCCACCTCCAGGCCTCCAGAAGAGGGTCTCGTCGGACGGGGCTCAGACGACGATCCGTCGGCGGCCCTCTCCGGGCGCCGGGCACGCCCTCTCTCCCCCCCCCCCCCTCGCGCGGCAGACGGGCCGCCTCTCCCCGAGGCGCGCCAGGGGCCCGCGCCTCGGCGGGGGGCCTCTCCAGAAGGCAGCGTCGGGGACCGGTGGCCCGGCTGCTGGAGTCGGCGGCGAGGGAGGGGGGGGGGAAGCGAGGAGGAGAAGGCCTCCGCAGAAGGCGGCGGGGCCCTTCGGAAGCCCTCCCGCCTACTGAGGAGTTTTTCTGCGTCTTCGGGGAAGGCTTAGGGAGCTTCTCAGAAGACCAGAGGACTTCCGAGCCTTCTGAGAAGGCCTTCTCCTTCTCATTTCCCCCCGGGCGCGCCGCCTAAAAAACGGTTTCCCCGAAACAAAAAAACAAATGCCCGGAAAAAAACTAAGCGGAGTAAATAGTAATAACGGTTTGCCTCCCGGAAGAAAGAAACAATTTCCCGGAGCTTCGTTTTGACAGCCGCAGGTTTGCCAGCCTTCACCTGGCTCGGACGTGGCTGGGACGAGGATAAATCCGTTCCAGAGCGTTTCGAAACGCGCTCAGAGTCTCCAGGCACGTTCGAAGAAGGCCGCGGCGCCCTGACAC